ATATATAGCTGTAAATTTTTATTTTATGTTTTATATTAAGATGTGTCTTTATTTGATAGTCACACACATGATGTGGCAGTTTTATCAGATTCATATTTTGTTTTCTTACTCATTTCATAATTAATGTGGTAATTGCATATGACTGATCCTTAATTGCTTTAGGAAATACAAAAGGCCAGCTTGAAAGCCCAGCCTGTTAAAGCCTTCAAGATTCAAGTCTATAAGGTACTTTTTTTTTTGTCTTGTTATAGCACATACAATTTATTTTTTCAGGATTCACAGATGAATAGAAAGCTCAAAAGAACAGCATTTATTTGAAACAAATCTTTTGTAACATTACAAATGTTTTTACTGTCACATTTGATCAATTTAATGCATCCTTGCTGAATAAAAGTGTTAATTAAAAAAAATATCTTACTGACCCCATCTTTTGAACCAGAGTGTACGTTTTCCCTCTGAATTATTTTTTGCTTAAATGTTTTTCACTTTTCATATATTGTGATAGAAATTACTGAAGGATCCCTGGGAGAATATGCTATTGGAAAAACAACTGAAGGCTACGGACTTTAAAATTTATGTATGTTTAAACAGTTAAAAAAAAAAAAGTCAGTTTTGTAGCGCTCATCTTTTCACAGTCTGTTTCTGTCCTGTCTGAAATCTCTTCTCATTCAGGTTCTTGAGATGGGTTTTGGTGAAGTGGGCAAAGAGCCTATTGATAATGTTCATTTCTACAGCAAGAGTGACCTAAAAACAGCATTCAAGACGAAGAAGTACCAGGTAAGAAATCTGACTTACCTCAAACATTTATCATACTGAACTAGTATTCATGATTATGATTCTTTTGAGCATTAGATTGTCTGTTTAATTAAGTTGCTACTAAAACAGATTAGATAGATAGATAGATCTTCAGGCTTTACATATTTTGTGGTGTGTATATGCCAGAGTTCATCTCTGGGTAAGTGAAAGCCTGATTCCTGGCTTGAGAAAGGCTGGTTACAGGTTGTGTTTGGTTTCTCTTGTCCCTGCAGGTCTCAAGCCTCAAGCCAGAGAAGTTTCACGAATTTCTTGTTAGGGTCTATTATGATCCAGCGGATCAGAAGCATCAGAGGGAGGTCCAGCAGAAAGCTGAGAAGTGCTTTCATGAGTGGTGCAAAAATCCAGAGAACACATTCATTGATTGCGGTAATTCTGATTCAGGTAATTTAGGAAATTGTGCTGCTATATCTGCATTTGTGTATCTATATTAATGTTAGTGTATCAGCTCTGCTGTATACATTTTTACTTTCTGCTTTTCATTTATTTGCATATGTTAGCGGATGTTTTTATTCAGGGTAATTTATACTTCTAACCAGGTATAATGTGATAAAGAGTCATGAATCTCTTAATTTGAATATCTTAATCTGCATTTGCAGTGCATTATGTTGTAAAAATATAAGCAGCAAAGGATACATATAAGGCATCTGCAAAACCCAGGTGCTGCTCCAAAATGTAGGCCACCTTTGCTCACCGTTCACTTTGTTACAGAGAGAAATATGTTCCCTGAAAAACAAGAAGAAATTACACATTTTTAGAAGGCAAACCCCATATATAATACACAAACCTCTCAAAATCATAGTGAAGTTCTTCTCTTACCATGAATTATCAGTCTCAGAGCGGCTGGTCTGCTCATGTCTTTCTTGATGCTTCATTGCAGTTGCCTTTAAAACACACACACACACAAATCCAGTGAATCTTAAAGGGGTCCTATTATGCTTTTTCACTTTTGTTTGGACTACAGCGTTTGTTTTCCGGGTTTTGTGATGGCCAGACATCCCTGACAAACACAAAAAATTGGGGGACACATGAACACCCTAGAAAAAAAATATGGATGAAGAAAAAAAAAAATATATATATATATATTTATTTAATTAATGCATGTCAATTTTGTCCTCAACATCGGCATGTGCATGAACTCTTTCACTCCAAAAACTGATTGTGCTACAATTAATCATTATCCATCACTCTGATGGGTTATAACATTTCCATCATAATATACTTTTTGTCTGTCACAATTGTTCTAGTTTTCCAGATAATACTGATTATTATTATTATTATTATTATTATGTGACTATTGTCATATGCCTTTTCAAAGGCAAAGAAGATGATGATGATGATGATGAAGACGAAGAAGAGGAGGAGAATGAGAAAACTTCTTCAAGCAAGGTAACAAATAAAAATGAAACTAAGCTAACTATTAAAGGCACGAAAAAAAGAACTCTGTCTATTGTGTAACCAGTGAAGTTTAGCTGATGTTAGTGCTATTACATATTTCAGTCAAGATTTATGGTTTTCACATATAATTTCATTTTTCACTTTAGAGCAGAAAGTTTAAGCATTTATAAAGCATTTACATGTTTGACCTCATACAGTGTTTGTGGATTGTGACAAATGACTGTCTGTGGGCAGTCGTGGCCTAATGGTTAGAGAGTCATACTTGTAACCCAAAGGTTTCGGATTCAAGTCTCATGTCCGGCAGGGACTGTAGGTGGGGGAGTGAATAACCAGCGCTCTCTCCACCTTTAATACCACGACTGAGGTGAGACTCTTGAGCAAAATGCTGAACCCCCAACTGCTCCCCAGGCACTGCAGCAATATGGCTGCCCACTGCTCCGGGTGTGTGTGTGTGTGTGTGTGTGTGTGTGTGTGTGTGTGTGTGCGCGCGCGCGCATGCACTTGGATGGGTTAAATGCAGTGCACATATACTGAGTATGGGTCACCATACTTGGCCACATGTCACTTCACTTCACATCTGTGATGCAGCTGTTTTTAGAGATGAAAGAAAACCCTGCAGCCTTGAAGTTACTGTAGACATTTCATGGCAGGGTTTCCGGAAGCTTTAGAAAATAGATGCAAATAAATTTTTTAGGAATTTACATTTACTTTTTGTAGTATTTGTTTGTTTGTAAGAAAACATGAGTGGGTGAGAGGGTCAGTCTGTTGGGTATTATAAATAAAAATAGTTCATACCAGTGGAGGTTTGTGAATTTGCAGGGAATTTACAGATTCTCCCATTTCCAGTTTACACTTATTGTCTTTGGGGTCCATTTGGACCCCAGATTTTTACAGAGCTATTGCATAAAAAATATAAATTGTTAATAATTTTTAACAATTTTTAAATTTTTTTTTTTTTACATATCAACTATACATTTATGCTGTGTATTTTTCAGGATGTTTAGTACTTTTGTTACATATTTTCCATATAATTACTCAACTACACCATTAGTGGTCATTTGAAATATTACAGTTTTCTGGAAAACAATCTTCAGTGATTGTCTAAATCAGTGGTTCTCAACCCCCCACTAGGGGGGCTCAACGATCCTCCAGGGGGGGCGCGAAATAATTTATAGTATATTCAATTCACTAATTTTATGATTGATATGTTACATTTGAAAACAATTTAAGGGTGCTTTCACACCTGCCTCGTTTAGTTCGGTTGAATCGTACTAGAGTTTGTTGTCCCTCTTGGTGCGGTTCGTTTGGTCAGGTGTGAATGCAGCAATCGTACTCGGGTGCGCACCAAACAAACGTGTCTCGGCCCGATTGCAAACGGACTCTGGAGCAGTTCGCTCGTGGTGAGAAAGCAATTCGACCCAACGGACCAAAGAACAAAGCGGTATCATAATTTATAATGGGAAATATGCTATATAAAAAGCAGCAGTTAGTGTCTGATTCTGTGAGTGAGAATATTTGTTATTGCAGTTGAAAGTGTGTGTTTGTGTGTGTATATATACAGCGGGTAAAATAATTATTGAACCGTCACCCTTTTTCCCAGTAAATATATTTCTAAAGGTGCTGTTGACATTAAATTTTTACCAGATGTCAGTAGCAAACCAAGTAATCCATACATACACATAAAACAAAACAAAAAATTTCAAAAAATAAGTTGTGTAATAAAATGGAATGACACAGTTAAAAAGTATCGAACTACTGAAATTTATCTAGTACTTTTTACAAAAGCCTTTGTTGGTAATGATAGCTCCAAGACGTCTCCTGTATGGAGAAACTAGTAAAAATATCAAATCTTAAAATATAATTTAATATAATTCTATGTAGATGATAGGATTTTTTGTGTGCCTTTTAAATCACAAACTCCTCTTAAAACACTGTAAAAGCTTACGGTGGTGAAAGTAATTCCTTTTTCATCTCACACTGGTTGTCCTCGGCTAGAAACTGACAGTTATAATGAACAATGAATACACATTTTATCAATCAGTTATATTTCTGCTGTAGGCCTTGGTTCAAATCTGTTAGGGCAATAAACTCTATGAACTAGGGCAATGCATTTTATGAACTAAAATTAGCCTTTTTTCTGTCCTGCAGATCTTCAACGACCCCATTCATGGACACATTGAGCTGCCTCATCTGCTGGTGAAGATCATCGATACTCCTCAGTTTCAGAGACTTAGACACATCAAACAGCTGGGAGGAGCATATCTGGTGTATCCTGGAGCCACTCATACTCGCTTCGAACACTCACTGGGGTAAAGTTAAAAAAATAAAAAAGTTTTAATGTATATGCAGTATACAAATGTATGAAGGCTTAGAAGTTTTTAGAGCTATTGTAAACTCTGCTGGTGTGTGGACCTCATCAGGCTCCTTTGTGGCAGATGATCAATAATACAGTAATTGCAGTAAAACTAAACATTTTCCCTGACAACTCATCTTTTCAATGTGAAATTAGGTATTATGAACCAACTATACTATTTCCTGTACAAGTATGGTGAATCATCCTGAATTAATTCACCTTTAGCTTTTGGAGTCAGCATGCTTTGCACATTGCCTGGAAGTAACTATGCCATACTGTTCAATACAGATTGTGTATATTTTAATAGTGTGCCTTTGCATTTGTAGCATAAGTCATTTTCTGTGACACTGAGTCCTAAATATTAGTAGTTTGATCTGTGAAAACACTCATATCATAGATGGATGCTGTTCCAGATGCAATGTCCAGACCCTTTCCTCCATAAAGCTAAAAACACATTGCAAACAAACATTATCAAACTGTTGATCATGAAGAGGGAAGACACATAACTCTTCCATGCAATTAATTTTCACAAGCAATGCTTCTGAAAAGCAGTAGTTGTAGGATTAGGACAAGTGTTGATGAAACATTATGAGACCATGTCTTCATGAGCAACTTAAACATATGCTAACATCTTGAAAAACATTTTCATGAGCTACAGACTGTAATGCTGTTGAATGACACACAGACAGATGGTGTGCTCAAGTTATTCTCTTTAACAGTAATTAATGTCAGGTAACACGTTTGCAGTTGTTACAGTGCTCTTTCTACCAGTGACCCTTCAAAATGACTTATTTTTATTTTATAAGTCATCAGGTTGATTCAAATGTTTTAAACATGATTAGAATAATCTCATAATTCTGGTGTTACCGAAAGCTCAATCTACTTTACCAGATTCTGAAGCAGTGAGTCAATTGGTCAAATGATGTAAAAGGATTTTTTCTGTTTTGTTTAAAATGCTGTCTTTTCTGTGTGAAGGATGGCACATTTAGCAGGATCTCTGCTCAAAGTTCTGAGAGAGAAACAAGAGAAGTGCATCGAAAAGATAGAGAAGGATATTAAAAAGCTTGGAAAGAAACAGGAGAAGCTCAAAAAGAAACAGGAGGAGCTCAACGAGAAGAAGAATGAGCTCATTACTGAAAAAGACATGCTGTGTGTTCAAATTGCTGCTTTGTGCTATAATTTAGGTGAGTGATAGCAATGTGCATGTGCACATTGAGCAGTGTAAAAATACCTTTTTTAAATGAAGCACTTATAAAGATATAAACATATTAAAAGTATGTACAATGAATGTTCACAAGAACGATTTCATTTATGCAATTGTTTTAACCGTTTGTGCTAAAAAAGAAGAAAGATGAAATTCTGCATGTTTTTTAGACATAAAAGTAAAAATCACTTCACACTAAAAAGTCAATTGTATTTTAAAACCAAGTAAAGCAATATATATATATTATATTGTTTGTGCTTCATTGATTTTAATGATTTAGCTATAAGATGATGCGATGAGATAATGTTCACATAAACTTACCTAAATCTGATCCTCTTTTACATTTATGTCCAAACACCATGTGAACGTGGAATTTGCATCCTTTACACCCTTTAATGTCAGACAATAGATGTGATTCATGTATTTAATTGAATGAAGACAGTATGGAATATGTTCTTCACTGTAAAAAAAATAATAATGTAATTTGACAGAAAATAACTGATTTTTTCAGGTTGTTTTCTTTTATTTTCAATTGCAGTCAAAACTCTGTAAAATTATCTCTGAATGAAATACTTGGCTGTTATTTTAAATATTATGACACTAATGACAAATTAAAGTAATTCACATTTTTTATACAGAAAAATTACAGTATTTTATACAGTATGTTTTCTTATATTACAAACAAATGTATGTAAAATTACAAAAATAATCTGTAATTAATACAATAACAAAACCGTTAAATTATACAATTATCAAATGACTAGCACACTCTAAAAAATGCTCGGTTAAATACAATCCACCGCTGGGTCAAAACAACCAAATAGCTGGGTTTGTCCCTTTTTAACCCAGCATTTTTTAGAGTGCAGCAACAGTAAAATCTCCTTATTTAAACAAGCTGACAAACACTGTTATTTTACAGGCATTTCCTAAATTATTACAACCACCTTCACTATAAAATTAACTAATTAACTGAACGACCCTGACCTTCTGACCCTTCACTTTATAACATCAGCTTTTCTCTGGCTACTATAACTGTCTGTTTTATAAGACACGTTTGTTATAAGAAAAATTGTTAGAGAACAGTCTGATCAGCCCATTTATGATTCAAACATTTATGTTACTTTTGACTCACACAAACCTCAAGAATCAGCACATGAATCTCAACAATGGTGACAATCAACAAAAAGCTTGTTTTGTGATGATCAGAGCTGATCTGAATATTTTGTCGATTGTCACCATTGTTGAGGTCCACATGCAGATTCTTGATGTCTGTGACTCTAGATGCGCTTGTCTTAATAATTTCTTCAAAATGTATTAAAAACTTTCAAAATATCAAAAGAAGGCTACATTTCAAACAGTGCAGTTCCAAGACTACAGCAAAACGAAATTAACAAATGTAGCTTGTTCAGACATTAAATATTTCGGTTGAGCCACTATACAATGACAAGATCATCATCTAATCAGAATTTTTCTCACATATTTTGTTATAACAAATGTACTTTAGTAACACAGTTATGGCAGCCGGAGAAAAGATCTCAATTCTCAATAAGAAGTTTTGTATGAAAGAAATAAAGTCAGACTGGTTTGTAATAAGTGAAGGTGCTGAGATCTAGAGAGATCTGTTAGTGTCCAATGTTCTTTTGGGATTTAAAGGGTTTCTGGTGACTGTGGCTCAACCATTTTTTTTTTTTACAGTGCTGAGCAACATATGAACCGTGAGTTGATCAGTATATTTTATGTTTGTATTTTTAAGGTCATGGTCCATTCTCTCATCTGTTTGAGAAATTCATCCATAAAGCCTGGCCTGGTAAGAGTCTGAGCCTCTCTCTTGACTGATACCAATGTTTGTGGTCAGATGTGTGATCAATAACTGTTCATTATTTAACAGTGCTATTTGGAGCTAATATTTATATAAATGTTATTAACTTTTTTTTTTCTCTAGTACCATGTACATATTTACCTGAAAATTTACCTTTACATGAAGAATCTGAAATTTTCATTTCATTCAGTTTTGAATTATTACGTTGTGTTCTTTCCGTTGATGACTTTCATTGTCATTTGAAGAAGGTTGAAATCAAAGTTACTTATAGCCTTTCTTGTTTACATTTACTGCATACTTACATCATTATATGCATGTTTAATATTTAGAAGTATGTAGAAGTAATTGGACAGCAGGAATAGTTGTTAGTTTAGATTTTTGTTTCTTTGACGTTTTACAACTGGTGCAGGTGGCCGTGGAGATGACCAACAACCGGGTCCATCAGAAGAGAAGTGGAAGGTAAGCACCATGACTCTCCTGTACAAATATACATGTATTACAAGTAGCATTTTAAACTCTGTGTATTGTATTATGCTTAAATGAATGTGCTATTTAATTGGTCTTATTGCGATGTACTCAGTCATCTAACACAAATACATTACAATACATAAAACTATATTAAAAAAGCATAGAAATGTGATGTCCAAAACAACAATGTATAAAAAGGAGCTGAAAAAAAAACAGGAGAGTTTACAGCAAGGCTAGGGAAAACAAACTGCACAAATTAGGTTTAGTGAATAATGTTCAATGAATAATTTGGGTGAACAGAGTAGACCTTTTTGGAGCCTTATGAGAGCATTTAATTGGCTAAACGAACTTACTAAACATAAACATTCCTACTGAATATATAAGCCATGCAATCACACATGAACAGTCCGTATTGGTGAAAGATAAATAAAATAAAAAAACATTGTTTGATATGCTCTCGTTTACAATATAGCCAAAAGACACGCTTATCCAAATAGCACTTATCAGTAGCAATCTAGATAGAATCAGTTTAAAAAAAAATTGTGGGTTAAATACACTTAAGCTCTACCTTGAACATTTGATCAACAGTATTCAAAAGATTGTCTTCTTTTAACAAATAAATGGGCTTTTCACACTTGAGTTAACCCTGGGTCATTCTAAACCCTGGGTAAATAAAGTTTTGGGTTATTGCTTGATGTTTCACACTGCTCATAATTCACTCAGAGTTAACAATTGATGTTCACACTGTACATTCCTAAACCCTGGGTTAACGTTCTTAATTGCATATTTGTGTTGTCAATGTCATTGATTGAATGAAATGCAGCATGTTACCTGTTTATAACTGCTCTAGCATTGCTCATACTGTATGTTGTCGACTGTACTAGCAGGCTTATACTGAATGGCCTTTCCAGATTATAAACGAAAAAATGAAAAGGTCTCTTCTTCACCTCACATGTCATATTTCTGTAACCATTTGTCATTTTTCCCCTCAAATACTGAAACTACTGTTGAAATGATGTGATGTTTCTGAGACTGTCCAAATCATGTGAGTAGAAGACACGCAATTGGTTGCCTGTTGCTAAGCATGTAGCTGTAACATCGTGTTTGACTCTGCAATGTGGGGTTAACACCACAAAAGCAGAGCTAAACTTGCTCCAGAGCTGGATTTCATAACCCTGGGTAAAAAAAAACAAAAAAACAAGTGCGAAACGTACATTTTTCTGGGGTTAAAAGCGGGGTTTAGAACGACGAGAACCCGGGGTTAAGTGCAGTGTGAAAATCCCTTGAGAGGAATAAGCCAACATTACATTCTGTGGAAATTGACAAGAATAGAAATACAGGCCACTAATAAATTGCAAATCACTTCATGAGAAACACTGACTGTTAAATATAATCTATTTATCAGTCATAATTTAATAAAAATATAATTAGATGCTCAGTCTTCATGAATCCTGTATTATTACTGTATGTATTTACGGATGTATATACGGTTTAATTTATTTCCAATATTTATATTGTCTCTCTCTAGGTGGCCTCAATCTGGATTTTTCTGGACATCGTAAGGAATGAAGGACTAAACACAGAGCTGACAAACAAGGATCTCACCTTTATTCAGACGTTAATTGAGGGGGATTATAAAGCAGCTCAAGAGGTAACATCCTGTAAACTGCAATGTCAAACAAGTTATGCAGAGTTTAAGTTGAGTATTAAAAGTATTTGAATTATTCTTTATTAGAACAAGTCTTTCCTGTATGAGATTGTGGCAAATAATTGGAATGGCATTGACGTGCGAAGATGGGAGTATTTTGCACGGTAAATAAACAACATTTTAGAGATTTTACACATATAATTACTTTTTTTAAATGGATTTTTTTTTACAAAACTGCGCAAAAAAGTGCTTAAATGCCCAGTGGGTGATTTGATGTGGAAAAGATATCAAATTGACATCAAAATTTACGTGAAACAACAGGTCAAATGTGCAAATCAAACTGATGTCAAAAACTTGACATGATGTTGATTTGATATAAAGTGAACATCAAACATATTGGCCTATACATACATTAAACTAATTTCAGTGTGGCATTAACTTCCTATTTTCACCCAATTACCACTGGAAGAAATTGCTGTCCAAACTGACCTTAAAATAATGTTACAGCATCATAATCAAGTCTTTACTAATTTTAATTTTAATAGTTATAGTTATATTATATGATGTAATCGGGTTGACTAATACTTCAGAAAGTTCTTTCAACATACATGTATTCATCCCAATGACATCTTTAGCTCGAGATGGCCTAAGGGATCTAATCACTCTCATCACATCTGACTCAGTGATAGATTCTATGTTGAAAGCTGGATACACAGCTTTCTTGTCTGTTATTTTAAGTATTATAACAAATGACAAATTAGAGTAATTCACATTTTATATACAGAAAAACTACTGTATTTTATACAGTATGTTTTCTGTTTTCCTAAATTACAAACAAATGTAAAATTACAAAAATAATCTGTAATTAATACAATAACAAAACCGTTAGATGATAAAATGGTCAAATGACTAGCAGCAACAGCTGCCAAACAAAAACCATACAATTAAAATAAAATCTCCTTATTTAAATAAGCTGACAAACACTGGTTATTTTACAGGCATGTCCTGAATTTTTATGATCAAACACCTTCACTGAAAAACAAAAAACAAAAGACAAAAAAAAAAAAAAAAACCGGTCAAATGACTGGCAGCACAGGGTGCCAAACAAAAACCTTAAAATGAAAGTAAAATCTCCTTATTTAAACAAGCTGACAGCACTGTTCATTTACAGGCATTTCCTAAATTATTACAATCAAACACCTTCACTGTAAAATCAACTAATTAATTAATTAAATGTCACATGACTGGCAGCAACAGAACATGAAACACTAACAGATCTCTATACATCTCAGCATCTTCACTTATTACAAACCATATAAAAGTTGGAAAATAAATAAATGTAACATGCTCGTACTTTAGACATCTCTGATGAGGTTAATGAATCGGGCCACTATACAATGGCAAGATCATCATCAGTACGTAAACAGCTTCTTCTGATTAGAATTTTTTTCGCAGGTTTTGCTATAACAAAAGTGCTTTAGAAACACACAGTTACAGCAGCCGGAGAAAAATTATTAATTATTATTATTATTAATTATTATTGATTATTTTAAATAAAACATCAACATCTAAAACTCTGTTAATTCTCAAATAATTTTTGTAGATATATGACAGAAATAAAGTCAAACTCTAATGCTGTTTGTGGAGTTGTTTGATCATGTTCTGCTGTCTTATTTCAGTTGATTTCATCTAAGTCTGTGGCTGAAGTCAGTTGTAGTTCTTGTGCAGAATATGGCCGTTTTTTTACAGCAATTTTTTACAGTGTAGTTATTAGTTTTTGCATGTGTGCTGTTGTTAGCTGATGGTTAACTGCAAAAAAAAAAAAAAAAGTTTCACAATGATGATCCAGACAATACCTGTAAAGTAACAGTAAAAAAAAACGTTTTAGAAAAAAATAGGATGCTGCAGTTTTTGTTTGGCAACTGCTTCTGCCAGTCACTGACCGTTTAAAAAAAAAAAAAAAAAAAAAATTTTTTTAACCATTATTTCCATTAATGGTAAACATTTGGCACACTGTGCTGCCAAGCATTTCACTTTTTTTTTTTTTTACAGTGTATCAAACAGCTTTACATAAAAAAAAAAAAACATTGAAAGAGACGATGCAAATGTTGTCCTCTCATGTGTCCACCATCACATCAGTAGTGTCATTAAAGCTGATTTATTCAACATGGATTAGGTCGCCTCATGGTGGCCGCCATGATCAGATCACATGAGCAGTCTAATATTAGTAACCCTTCATGTTTGGACACTTTCACTTGTGGAACAAATTAACCATTACTAGATAAAACATTTCTATAATAGTATCAATAACTGAGAATTGTCACTTATGTATGATGCCGCATGCTATTAGGTGTCAGTATAAAGTCAGAGATCAGTCATATCAGTCAACAGTATTGAGCACACTCATGTTCTCTCTTTCAGAGACTGTCATTATCTCGGCATTTCTAACAGCTTTGACCATCAGCGCATGCTGAAATCTGCTCAAGTCTGTAAAGTCAACGGGACGAATCACATCTGCTTCAGAGACAAGGTACATGATACATAAGATCCCTCGTCAACAGTGTTGGGAAGGTTACTTTGGAAATGTAATAGGTTACAGATTACAACAACCAGTGCTTATTCGATGGCTGATTGTTTTCAGTCTGTTTGATAGCACTGCAAGTGTAACATCCATATAAAACAACAAAACGCTGACTTTAGTTGCACTGTGCACTATGACATTCACCCAATCATTAGTCATCTTACAAGTTTCCACTTCAGCTAAATTTAAGAGTGATATTTATGAATAACCTTTATATTTCAATATTTGCAACTTAATGTTAGTCATACTCACATAAAACCATTTAATGTTTTCAATCGAATGATTAATATTTGACTGTGTTTGTGTCATTCTGTCTCTCACAGGTGGCAGATAATATTTATGACATGTTTCACACCCGCTACACTCTATATCAGCAGGCCTACCAGCACAAGATAGTCAACATCACTGAAAACAAGTACATTTTTATTTTATTTCATTTTATTATTATTATTATTATTCAGTTAAAAACTTTTTTTAATGCATTATTTTTTGAGTAATTTACTGTTTCATTATTTTTTATTTGTTCATTAGAATCATAAAAGCTCTCTTAGAAGCTAAAGACAGGCTTGAGATCTCACCGATTTCAGAATACTTTTCACCAGATGAAATCAAGCAGAAGATCAAAAATATTACAAGCAGTTCACAAAAACGCAAGATGCCACCATCTGAAGATGAAAAGACTGCAAAGTTCATTAAACTGACAGGTAAGTTGTAAACATGGAAGAAGTTTTTAAGTTCTACTTCTTGTCATTTGACCAGAAGAGTTTCCGTCAAATTGTTCTCATTCTATCAGATCACATCTTTGAGAAGATCTTGTACTCCAGTGATGACAAGCTGAAAGATGCCCGAAAAGAGCTGGAAGATGTTGTGATGCGACGCCTGCGGAAGTGTGTGGGAGAGACTCGACTAAAAGAAACTGAAGAGAAAGAAGTGGCCTTCAAGGTAGAAGAAAAATGAGAAAAACACAATGTTTTATTTAAATGCCATCTTCAAGTTAGTTTTCTTCCAGACATTGTGGAGGGCACTGCATTTACAATGTTAAAAGATCATCTTTGACTGCTGGCCTGTTCTTCATTGTTTCCCTTCTCCTTCACTGCCGCTGGATTCTGAAAGGTTGATTGTTGCGAGTAATTCACTAGTGCGAATAGAATTATAGTGAAGCATATCATTAAAACTCTTATCATTAAAATTCTAATCTTGCCCTTCTAAACTGTGCTTTAGGGTTAGAAATTGTAATTTTGAATCGGTAAATGCAGTTTGTATTATCACTCCATTTAAATTACATGTTCTTGTTTGTATCCCAGTTTGCTGGTAGATGGTTGGCAAACTGGGACAGTGTCAAGATCACAGAAACGAAATAATTAATATACAGATATTTTAAGGAAAAATGTAACTGATTTAAGTTCCTTATCAGAATAGTGTCCCTTTTTAATTATTTTTCTAACCTTAATTAAATTAACTTAAATATAACAGCACTCTAGAATGCTCTATGAATGATATGTCCCATTAATTAGTGTCAGTAAATGCATTAACAAGCATTAAATAACAATGAGCAATATATTTGTTATAGCATTTAATAATCTTTGTTAACGTTAGTTAAAAAAAATACAGTTGTTTATTGTTAGTTCATGTCAGCTCAGGTCCAGTAAATTCTATGAACAGATTTTATTTTTATACTGAATGTTCAAATTAACATTAATAAATATGAATAATATGCTAAATTAATATGCTTTAGAAGTATCTTTCATTGTTAGTTCATGTTAGCTAATATAGTTAACTAATTTTCCCTTTCATTTTCTCTGACATCTCATAATTTCAAACATTACAATCGATAGAAATGTGCAGTTAAAAAGCAATCAGATTTTTTTTTTTGTTTATTGGGGAGGGACATACACAGATAATAACACACACTCTCATATAGATAATTTGTTTTCATTTGTTGAACTTAAATCTGCATTTCTACAGGATGACTGGAATAAAGCAGTGGACGAGTGGAACAAACTTCACCCAAATCTGGTTTTGCATAAGAAGGATTTCAGCACTGAAGTATGCTGTGTTTAAAACAACTTTTCCAGTCTTTTTTTTTTTTATATTGGTGCTGTCAATCAATAAAAAAATAATTAAATCGCACATTTTTTTCTGAAATTAATCGTGATTAGTCACAATTAATCCCACCTAACATTAAAGTTTTTAAATATACTTTTATATCGCAATAATTTCACATTACATTTTCAAATGAATGTAGAAAAAAACATAAGGAGAGTATATTTTTAATATTTGTTTAATGGCATCTTGTTTTTTTTTTGTTTTTTTATGACTGAAGGCCAGTATCACTGATACCAATACTACAGACGTCTCTATAAAATTGTTTTTCCCCTAATATTTAACCATTGACAATAGCCATTCAACATTACAGTATAATTGAGAGCTGTCAATTTTAACATTTATTAGACTTTATAAAAAATAACTTCTAATTTAAGTGAACTTAAAACAATTTTCACATAAACCCATTATAATAAATGTCATATTTAACAGTGTCCTTCAGCAGAAATATACAGAAATTGAAGTTATTAAACACTATTTTAAATTAAATATAGATGAATCCTTAAAGCTATAAAAGTTATTGATTTCCTATTTTTTTTCTATTTTTTTTCTTTGATTAACAGACATCACAGATTATTCGGTTATTTTGGCTATTTCTTTAAGAGCTGCCGCTGCTGAACATGACACGGATCTGACACGCATCGTATCTCCTCTTAAATCTCTACCTTTTATGACCCACTTCAGGTCTTAAAATCTCTATTAATGAGCTGACGAGTTAATTTGGGTGTGTTAGATGAGTGAGACAGTGTTGGGCTGCTCCAGGACAGTTTTGAAAACCACTCCATTTCAGAGGCATGTTCTTAAATGTGACTCATATATTATATATTACATGCATGCACAGTTTTAAGGGAGCTTTAATCACCTTTTTGGTAACTTCATGACTTAACTGACCACGACATTGCATGCACGTAATTTATTTCGCGCTTTGATATTAAATGATACAGGCTACAGCTCGCACCGGCGCATTTGTGCATGCAATTGAAGAGCACGCGCTCCGGACACAGAACTGTTTCCGCGCTCGTTTAACTCGCGCCTAGTCTCAGCCTCAGACGTCACGCCCATGGACTGTTGGCTGAACGTCTCATGCATACGGCACACAAAAGTGGAAACACTTCAGGATTTTCGAAGTCGTCATCGGATTGGTTGAATTATACAGGATTTCCGGGAGACGTGTGTGTTGCGTTCTTTAACATTCCGTCTGGAAACGTGGCACCAAACCCCCTCACGAAAGAAGAAAGCCGTCATGTTTACAATTGTGACGAAGAGCGCTTATCAGGATCAACTAAACGCTGGATTCTCAAAAGTATGTGAAATATTTAAAGTTTGCGGCATTGAATCTTTAAAATACGTCCGAGAGTTTTACACACCGGTCTGTTATTGTGGCGACATTTCCACAACCCGAAACGTGACACTGAACTGTGATTGGTTGTTTGACATGTCTGTCAAACAGCCTCATAGGTGGGCCTTGGCCAATGAAAGCTGCCATGGATTCCAGACCTTCAGCCGTCAGTCTGAAGGTCTGGCTACGTGAGACTAACTCGCGCCTGACGCTGAAGTGAAGTGGAACGCATGTCTGAAACGTCTCCCATTTGATGTGATCGTAAAGACGTTCTGTGACTGAATAAATGCATTTCTTTTAAAGAAAAAAAAGAGACAGAAGCAGCAGTTGTGAGTGGGGTGGCCAACTCTAGCTCCGCCCCTGCGTTAATTGCATTAAATATTTTTAAACTGAAAAAAAAACAAAAACATTGCCTGCATTAACGTGTTAATTTTGACAGCACTAATTTGTATCACTCTTTTTAATCAACAATGTTTAATAACTGTAACATTGTAAATCTCCTCTCACAGGTGATTCTACTGGATTATAATAAGGGGGCTGAAAAGGGGGTTGATCCTATCAACTCTGTCTATTTCTACAGAAAGAAGCAGCACAATAAAGGCCGCAAGATTAGGAAATATGAGGTACTCATACCACTGTGCTGCTCAAGTAACTTGCCACTTCAAAAATTATCAACATATTAGAATAACTTTTTCTAGAATAACTAATTCTGTGAGGGCCACTATCATCAAAGATGATTGACAGTTAGCACACAGTGTGGATTGGTGGTATGGTAATGGTTCTGTTGTGGCAGTCTATCTGAGAGAGCAGCGATAACCCACTTAGAGTAGACAGAACAGAATCAACACAAATGTATTGAAGATATCATTAATGTTGTTATTAACATCAATTTTAATATAACAACAAATTTCTGGGAATGGAGGAGGGTAATTAGCTTCTGAGCAAAGCAATACATCTGCTGAATAATACTGAATAGACCTTATATAAGCATGCTATGATAGTGTATTCCTATTGGTAGTCGTGGATCAGCTGAGTCAGATAATACAAGCTTGCTTGACGTGATCTGCCAAAACTAACTGTATGCTTGATTTCTTACAACACTTAATCAAGTGATTGCCCAAGCAATAAATAGCAGCTTGCATTCACAGTCATTTTTTTTCGTTAAACAGCTAACAATTGTGAGCTAACAATTGGCCTACACTGTCAGACAAAATGTGGAAAAATTGTACCTTTAGTGATACAGCAGCTTGTCGTCACAAGGTCCTGTGAGGAGGTTAAGACGATTTTAAGGGTCCTGGTCAGACAGGGAATCCAGTGATATCAAAACTATATATATATATATAAAAAAAATAGATATTTGTTAGTCAATATTAATTTGTCCCAAAAGTGATTGATAATAGTGAGGTTAAAGGGATAGTTCTCCCAAAAATACAAATTCTGTCATTAATTACTCTCCCTCATGTTGTTTCAAACCCGTAAGACCTTTATTCATCTTTGTTTTCTTTGGGCACAAAAAGTATTATCATAGCTTCGTAAAATTACAGTTGAACCACTGATGTCACATGGAATATTTTACCGATGTCCTTGCTACATTTCTGGGCCTGGGAACATTCCAGTTGTGTTGCTGTCTATGGAGGGCCAGAAAGCTCTTGGATTTCATCAAAAATATCTTAATTTGTGTTCCGAATATGAACAAAGGTCTTACGGGTTTGGAACAACATGAGGGTGAGCAATTAATGACAGAATTTAAATTTTTGTGTGAACTATCTCTTTAAGGTGAGTGGTTCAGATAAGTATTCAGATGGTCATATAGCAAGTTTTATTTCAATAGTCACTCACAAAAAAGACAACCCAGGGTGCAGGGAAACTTGCTTTGGGTAAAAAGCAAGTTTCCTGGATCTGTAATGACTGATCAAAAAGTTATGTTTGATTTCACTTGTATCTCAGGTCTCCAGTCTGCTGCCGAAGAAGTTTAGTGAACATGTTGGTCGAGTTTACTACACAAAAAACTCTGATGAGGAGGAGATGGATGCTAAGGAGTGCTTTAAATGGTGGCGCCTTGGCATGGTGAGTGTTTATGGTTTGTTTGTCATTCCTGCAGAACTGACACACGCAGACACAGTGTATAAGCCACACACAAAAAAACACAGTATAATGAGCACATAAGCTATGTTTCCATCACCCTGTTTTTATGTGCATTTGAAGTATCACATCAGAAACGAGTGATGGAAATGCCAAATTTCAAATAAAAATCCCTTAATTCAAAAAATTTTTTTTTTACGCTCACTTGAGGTGGCTTTTGACTTGTGTGAAAAAAGGGTTAATGCGAATAGTGGGAGATGGAAACGCATTTGCCGAGTAAATTCTTCCATGCGCATCAAAAAAGTAATGTGACTTTGCGCTATGGGACGGCAAATCCTAACCAGCGGACTGATCTCGTTCCACAGCATCTGAAATGTTGTCATGGTCATTCTGAAATGCCTGAGCAAAGTCTGTCATTAAAGTTTCTCTGTATAATTGTCTTACACGACTGCGTTCCCAAACAGCAGCATCCACCTCCGAAAGCATTGACAGCATTTATTGTGTTTCGTCTGCTCGCTCTGAGGTGCGAGCAATTTATTATATATGAAAAGTATTATATTCAGTGGCTTCTCGCACTTTCCTTAGTGATATATATTGCCAGTTTACCAGGAAGTGATGATCTTGTTCTCTTTGACTCATTGGATAGAAAGGTGCTTATTGCGTGTTTTATAAGTGTTTTATGCGCTATTTCAATTTTGCGGATACGTTTTTTTCCCCCCCCGCAACTTTGGATGGAAACCTGGCTATAGTCAAGGTTTTTTGATGATGCCTCAAAAACAGCATAATTAATTTGATTCAAAGAAAAAAGAAAAAAACTCTCACCCTCTCTCTTCTCTCTCTTTTTCTTCAAGTGTGTAATTGAGCTATACGATCAGCATGCGTTTAGAGGTACCAAGTGTGTGATCACAGGCAACTGTCCATCATTGGACCGCTGCAGTATAACAGAGGTTCGCTCCTGTAAGGTGATCCGAGGCGTCTGGAAGCTCTGGAAGGGTCGTGACAGTGGAGATGATTACCTACTGACGGAGGGAGAGTATCCCAATCTTAAGGCATTGAGCGATGGCAAATCCACTGCTTCTGCTACTGCTCCCGCTCCCGTTCCTGATCCTGCTTGGTCTCTTGAATGTCTGCCATTTACGATCCAGCTCTATGAAAAGGTGAATTTTGAAGGCCCAAACTTTGAGACAACAGTTGACTGTCCTTCATTGAACAGCTGTGGTATAAATGAGGTCCGCTCCTGTAAGGTGCTCAGTGGTGTGTGGGATCTCTATGAGGGTCCTGACTATGCTAAACCCAGTTACCAACTGCAGAAGGGGGAATATCCCAATCCTGAGGCTTGGGGCAATGGCAACACTGCTCCTGCTCAGTCTGTGAAACGTGTGACATCTTATAAGATCCAGCTCTATGAAAAGGAAGATTTTGAAGAGCGAATGCATGAGACAACAGTTGACCGTCGTTCATTGGATGGCTGTGGTATAAATGAGGTCCGCTCCTGTAAGGTGCTCAGTGGTGTCTGGGATCTCTATGAGGGTCCTGAATATGCTGAACCCAATTACCAACTGAAGGAGGGGGAGTATCCCAATCCTGAGGCGTGGTGTGCCAGTGACCCCACTGCTCCTGCTCTGTCTGTGAAACGTGTGACAGAGTAAATTCTGGCCTCTAACTCCATCCATCTGCTGCCCTCATCCACCTTTAAAGTAGGGCTGTTAATTTAAAGCATTAATTTAATGTTTAATTATAATTTCTAAACAAAAATTGTCTAAACAGTGATTTACTCTGCTGTCACAATTATATAATATATTTTACTTTGTTTTAATTGTTTTATCTGCAAATGGCAATATATACACTGAATTGGGAATAACTTGATTCATTACTTATTGTATCATGATAGTATATCATGCAATTAATTTGATTTAGTAGATGCTTTTATCCAAAGCGACCAGAAAATGAGGAACATCAGGATTGAATGATTACAACTGATTGACAGCTATTGAAGCCACATGTGCCTAAATGAGATTATTTTGTGAATAAAACGTGTGGCAGATACTGCTAACAAAGAGCAGTGCAATGAAAAATCAGTGATGAGAAAGTAAAATCATGAGAGTAAATCAATTTAAAGAAACAGCTATTAAACTAAAGTGGGGGAAGATTTTACCTTGATTTTAGTTCTTCACAAATACAGTAGACAGATATTTGGGGCTAATAGCTGATTTATGTTAGTGTTTGAGCAGCTTGTTGTTATTATTATTATTCACAATGTGGTGCTGGATGTTGGGTGAATAGGCACTAGTTAACAAGATAATGGTGAAGGGTTGTGTTATATTAGGACGGGTTTGTTTGGTGATGGATAAACATAGGTATTGATCATTTATTTTTTGTAATTTCTTTGAGTGTGTGTGTGTAGAGTAGAGATCTGGGTACAGTTCTTGTGAGATATTTTGGGGAGTTGTTCATTTTTAGAGATTGAATTTGATATGGAATCAGTCTTTCTACATCTAATCTTTCACCTTTTAGGATGCAGGAGTTCAGTTACATCTTTCTTGTGTGATTACTGGGAAAACATGGTTATTAGGGGGAAAATGTAATGCATTTCAGCTTTTTATTCTCAAAAACTGACAAAAATAAACTGTATTGCATCAACAACAATGGTGGAGCAATTATTTGTTTCTTGTCTAATAAATGTTTGTTTTATTTTGAGTATTACTTCCTCTGGTTCATAGATGTGTTTGTGATTAGTGTATCACTAATTAATCTGTTTTTATACACTAATGAGAGAGTTTCTAAAGCCTAATAAAACCAGTTGGACAGATTTGAACAAAAATCAAAATGAGATAGTGAGAACCAAAATGTGCTGAATATATTTTATTTGTTTTTAATGCACAAAGCTGTCATATTTTTTTTTTAAATATTGCAGCATTTTGATAAAATATGAAAATAAAAATTGCTCAATATAACAGCAGTTTACACACAAAACAGTTTCAGTAAGTAAATGCAGTAGTCAACATTTGAAGTGGATCAAAAGTTCATCAAAGTTGTCCTAAGACAAGAACACATTTTGGTTTTAGGTTTTAGGACAGTCTGCAGCTTGTTTAGACCTGTTTGCCAGTTGATGAATCAGAAGAAGAAGAAGAACATAAATCTGTGGAGGTGAAAATGGAAGTGGACTCAAGGTGTGCAAATTCTGTAAGAACTTTTACAGTCCTGTGTTTTTGCAGGGTTTTGCCCTTCGTGACAAATAGCTTGAGGTGAGATAAATAAGGTAAATGAATAAAAGGTGGAGGGTGATTTGTATCTTGTCATTTAAAGGCTATATTAAGATAAAAAAAATAAAATAACAATAATAATACAAATCTTTGAAACTGTCTGGATCAATTTGAATACACCTGAATAACCTTTTTATTCTTTTAAATCTAAAATGCTCTGTTATTCTTTCACTGAACTGGTCATTGTTTAAGACTCTCACAAACATTAAAATAAAGCTTTTAATTTGTATTGTTGTACTGGCAGTTACCCAGAAGGCCTTGCAACTTCTGCCTGTGTATTGATAGTTGTCAATAAAGCATGTTTAAGATGTTGATGTCTGACATTATCATTTATTTAATATCATGTATAGATATACGGATATAATAAGATGTATGGATTGATTTGGGAACAGTATTTTCACAGGTTTATTTGATGAGGTCATTTCCAGATCCTGTTCCAGCACATTGAGGTCTCCAGCTCCTCCTGCAGGAAACATGACAAAAGTACACCTTCTGAAGAATCTGTGACAAGAGAATGAGAACAGCAGCTCACGTCAATATAAACTACAAACACACTGATGAGTGATGATATTGTTTAATTTTCTCCTTCGCTTTGTCCTGTCTTCTCCAGATTCCAGGTGGAGCTCCAGCATGTGTCTGATATTGTACTTCACATTAACCTCGCAATGACCGTAGTGGATATGCAGTTCACAACACCCTTTAAAACGCCCACAGAGGCTCAGAGGAACAAAAGTCGGAAACTCCCTTCCCTAGAAACCAGCCGATTGCTCTGCAGCTCATCGCCACCCAGGAGTCATACTTGGTCTCAGTTCACTTATACTGTTCTGTCTGTTTTTAGAAATAAATCAAAGGCTAGATTGATAGATAGATAGATAGATAGATAGATAGAGGCATAGATAGATAGATAGATAGATAGCCTTCCAGTACGTGGTAATGTGTTGTCCTTTTCTAATTGGCAAATATGAATGAGCAAAAATATATAATGGAGTTGTATGTGGAATTGTCATAAACAGGGCCGTAGCTGGGGTACAGGTTGTACCAGTGAGCCCTGTTTGAAATGGTTTAATTTGTATGTTCGTTCTATTTATTTATTTATTTGTGCTATTTACACAATGTTTAAATTTTTTCAAGTTTGTAGGTGTCCAGGTACAGAAAACGAATATTCAAATGTAAAATAGTACTGCATAGTCTTCACTGTAAAAATTGTCAAAAAAGTCAAACCAAAATTTATTCAGACACCTTCAACATTTCTCACATAGCAATTAAAGAAAAAACACTTCAGCAAAACATGTTAAGGTCAAAGTGTCTGTGTCACGAATTCGGTCCATGGACTTCCATTTGTTCACCACCAGAGGTCACCCTTTCCATTACATTGACTCTCGCACAACACAAACTGTTGCATAGCACCCCGGACTACATATCCCATCATTCATTGCACGGTTTGCAAACTGCACTGATTGCACACAGCTGTTTCTTATCACCTCACTCACTATATAACACCCACTCAAACCACCATTCTCTGCTGAGTATTGTTTAGCCCGTACCCCATTCCGAGTCTCTGTGTTTTCCTTGTTTTGCATTGCCTTGCCTGTTTTCGCGGTTTTTGATCTTTGCCTGTTTTCCTGGATTTTTCCCTCTCGTCTCGCCCCTGTGATTCTGTCTGCCGATCGGTGACCTACGCTAGCCCTGGGACTATTCTTGTGTTTTGCCCGCCATATACCTGTTTGCCACTGTCGGACCCTGCCTGTGTTTCTGACCTCTCTGTTCAATAAAGCTTTGCATATGGATCCGCACGTCTCACGTCTCGTCAGCCCCGTTACAGACTGAATAATTTTTGGTCCCAAATGTTTTATCAGTTTTACTGGTAGTCCACTGTATGAAGAATTTTTGGGTATAATATGTCATAGTTTACTTTATTTTGCTATACTCACTGACATAAATGAACTATAGTGCGGATATCTAGAAATCTCCCATCAGGATGACAGGACATTTCTATGCATTTCATATAAATATCAGCCACGATGAGGTTATCATATATGATCAGTGTGTGTTTGAGAACTCATCACGTCATGGTTTGTTTGTGGGCATAGATTCAAGGATCCGGACTGACATGTCTGCAATTTCATTCTCAGTCTAAGTATCTCAAAGTCAAGTTATTTGTAATTTGCTCAGTTTACATTGTGTACGCTAGACATAAAAATGCTTTCTACGAAGCTCATTTTCAGACATTTGACAATACACAAAGATGAAAATACAGACATATTTAGAAGTTGGCTAGAATATATTCAAATGTTCTGTAAGATCACTGACCGTATGCAAGTGTTACAGATACAGCGATACAAGAGTGCAAGCGAAGGAAATGTAGTGATGTGTCTTCAATCTTATTTTTATTAACAGCATAAAAACAAATGGAAGGATCTGTCAGTTTACTGTCACGTACTTAATAGTTACAGAATTTCTTGAAATTGTTTAAATTATTACGTTTTTATTAGAGTTTGTTTATACATTAAACAGATTTATGAATAAATAAATCTATACATTTGTTTAATTAAAGAGAACAATTACCTTCAACATTACCTTCAAAACTCACTAATCAGCTAGTGAAATAATATTGTGTGCATATATAAAATAATATATGTATAGTGTGCTGCTTTTTATTTTATTTTACTAGCATTTTTTTTTATCCTGTGAAGCTGCTATTAAAATAAATGAACCTGACTACGCTGCACAAAGTATATCATATTTATGTTGACTTGAGAAAGCAATCATACTGATATTCTATTTAAGATTATTATTATTATTTTGAGACTAAAATTTGTAAATGTATCTCTTCCTAGAGTTTTCAAGCTATAACATCCAAAATCATCTCAGATCTTCAGACTGGTCTGACTTAAGCCTGAAAATTCACTACATAATTTTTACCCCGATTTTCTATCAATTTACTGTCTGTTTGTTGGTGTAATAAGATGTCACATTGATTTATGCCATAAAACCTGGTAATTTTCAGGAATCGCTTTAATAAAATTAATAACCTTACTCACGTGTCCGATGTTGCTACTTGCTAGCAGTTTTATAATGTTGGAAATTATTACGGTACACACGCTACAAAACAAATGTTCATCCAAACAGCAGGTGGCACTGTCTGAAAAAGTTGGGCCTCCGGGCCTGCAGCTTCATAATGTTGGGGGAGCCGTTCTCATTATAATGTTTACTTTAGCCACGGAACTTGCTAACAAGCACGTTATTAGGAAATGCGATTTGTACTTCTGTGCATTAAAAGTCAATAAATGTGGTAAAAAAAGCCGGTAAATGTGGTGTTTACATGGAATAATCATATGAGTTTACCTTATGGTACGAACCCAGAGTCTCTGCATCAGCAGGTAAGTGATAAAATGAGCATCTTCCATCCGAAGACTTGCATTTCGAAGCAAAGCAAAAAAACATTGTCGAATAACAATATAAAATGCGGTAAACTATTAATTGGTTATTCTGCAATTAATTGTACTATAAATTACACTACAATTGGAAAATACTGTAAATTGATAAACTGTTGGGCGTGATGACGTTTAATGTCTCCGACAGCTCCTGTTGTTTCATTTAGCAACTTGTTAGCAACCGTCTTTTTTAAGAAACATAACAGTTTTAAAAAAAATCACGAGTGGGGTGTAACTGGTGTGTTTTATGTCGCAGAATAAAATGTGAAAGTATCTTGAGCTTGTGTGAACCACAGACCTTATTTTAGGGGATTTAACCAAACTCCCATTCAAAAAAACTACTGACTATGGGACGAAGGAACCGGAAGTGCTAAAATGCTAACTTGTTTCCGGGTTTTTGCCTACAAAGTGAC